TTATGGTGATCTTTCTAATATTTGAAAATTGATACTATCATGTCCCCCCCCCACCCCTGCCTTAATCTACTTTTCTCTATATTAAGCATACCAAGGTCTTTCAGTCTTTCTTCATATGGCTTGCTTTTTCAACCCCTTTACTTTCCTCATGGTTCACCTCTGGACCCTCGTACAGTTCTGTACATCTTTTTTTAAAGTGTGCTGTCCAAACCTGAACACTGATGAGTAGAGTTGGATTATCACATCCCCTCTGTGTTTTGCATACAGTGCTTCTGTTAAAGCAACCCCAAATTCCTTTTGCTTTCCTTGTGACAGTGTCTCATTGTTCACTCGCTTAGCAGTGCTACTTTCAAACCAGTTATCCCCTATACTGTATCTGTTGATTCATTTTAATTCCTCATACTTTACATTGTTTTAAATTTAATTTTGTTACTCTCTGTAACTTGATTCTCTATCCAGATTTATCCAGAACTCTTTGGATTTTAATTCAACATGTATGCAACACCTCTCTTTCCTTGTGTCCAAATCATTAATAAAAAAATGTTAAATAGCACTGAATGCAGAACAGACACCTGGGAACCCACCTGAGACCTCCTGCTAGTTTAATATCAAGCTGTTACAATTGCTCATTGCTTGTGGTTATTCAACTAATTGCATGTCTGCATAATGGTAATTCCATCTAGTTCATATTTCTCCAACTTATTTATGAGAATGACAGGGAGACTTTAATACTGTTTTAAATAAAGTCCGTGTATGCCATGTCCACTCCATTCCCCTTATCCATCAAACTAGTTACCCTGTCAGAAAGACAGGGGCATTTTTTACATGATTTGTTCTTAAATCTGTATTGGTCACTTGTGATCACTCCCTCCACTTGCAGATCTTTACAAACTGACTGGTTTATAATTTGGTCTAGTAACTTATCAGGTTAAAGGGGTCTGATCTTCAAAATGGGCTAGACTTGCTCTGTGAAAATCAGTTTCTTTAATGTTTCTCAGTTGAGGTGCTCTAGTAAAATCAGTAGTCATATTTGAAAATTAAATCCCAACTGACTTGATCAGAGTTCTCCAGTGAATCAGTGTCAAAGACTGAGTGAGCTTTGCAGTGTCCTCTGTCCCATCTGTAGCTTTGGAACAAAATTGCGTTGATTTAAAAATGGACTAGTAGACTGAGGGAGGAATATTCTGGGTGATAAGAGAACATTACCCGTATGCACGAAAGATTAAATTTTACCTGAAAAGCTGAACTTGCTGAGGTTAGCATTATTTTTATTGCAATGCTACTCTAATTAAAAACAAAAACACCTATTCAACTGTTTTTTCTCAGAAGAACAAAATAAATAATTGTCCCAGGACAGACCAGTTCATAAAACCAGAGCATGGGAGCATATGCATGACACATTTACTATGCTGTAAGTTAACATGACACACATCTGCCTGCATCTGTTAGAAATCACTTGGATCCACAGTAAAGATACCCCTTGATAATTTCTTCAGTGCAAATTGGCTCCCTACCACCTAGGTGGCCAGGTGCTATATTAGCGTCTGCTGTGGGCGGCTATTTTGGGAAATCTCTTTATGCCTGCTCCTTACTAGAGAGTAAATTTACTATGAAATAAAATTTGTGGTAAATTACCCCCTAGTAATTGTCATGTGTCTGCACTCATACACACTCAGCACAGAAAGGTCCTGCCTCCTCTTGACTTATTTTCATAACATTTCTCCCCCTGGCTACCACTGCTGCAGCTCTACCACTGTTACTTCTGGTGTAAGTGCTGATGTGTACAAACTACTAGCAGTCGCTGTATTTCAAACACAATGTCACTTATACCAATTCTGAGCAAAATCAGATGTCAGAGTGGCTAAAAGTTAGCAGCTGTTCCACAGTAATTCTTGAACCATCTTTGTTATCCCTTAAGGGAGCTGCAGCAGTGACAGCGATGGCAGGAAACTCAATAGAAAAAGTGTCTCATGTAGACAGATTTAGAAAAGTCATGGTTTGTGGCCAGATCAGAGAGATGCAAACTGCTGAGGTTTGAAATTTGAATTCTTGCTTAAAACTCTAATTTGGAAATCTTGGTACATTTTCAAGGCACTTGCATGTTAATATATTAAAAATTGAGCAGAAGTTTACATCCTTTTTCTGTGTCCTGCACAATAATAGTGGTAAACCATAATAAAGGGTCAGATTCTGAAATCCTTATTTAGCTATTACATAGTCTGTCAGCATAAATTCTTCATTAAATATTTATATATCAGAGGAGTTTTAGGAAAACCCATCACTTTAAAGCTAAGGTATACAACTGGCCCATTAGTCATGTCCATTAAACAGAGCCCAAAAGAAAATATTCCACAGTACTTTTGGTTTTGTTATAATTTTGTTTTGGTAAAAGATAATATTTTATATTCATGTCCATACATATATGCTCATCTCATCTTTTTCTGTGTATATTTTAGGTTATCTTTCTTATACGCACACTGAACTAGGATTTTAGGTTCTTATATGCACACTGAACTAGTACTTGGCTCAATGATGGGAAACGTTTTTTATGGCAAACAAGATAGTTTTATGTCCAATTTGTTTGTGTGCTGTTGTGGGTGGATGTTGCTATCGTTCTTTAGCTAAATCTTGAAATTCATGTCTTTATTTATTACACTCTGAGTGTGTAATAAGTTATTTCCTGTATCTATGCAGGCATACATTGCCCTGGCATGTGTATAATATGCACATCATGGGTGTGAATAGGCCCTAAAAGGTGGGTGCCTGTGTAAAGCTCCAAAGCCAATTCCAGCTGTCTCAGATGTCCATGACGTGAACGGTTTTCCTGTGTTCTGCTTTGCCAGCTTCTTTTTTTTTTTTCCCTTCTTTTGCCAAAACAGAATTAGAACAAAGCCCGAGCGGCTGCTGTGGAAGATTTTCTATTGGACTCGTTTATGGGTGTAAAGAACAGCCACTACCATGTTACTTCCCATCTGTGTTCATATATACTTTAGGCCACAAAGAGGGTTAAAATAGTTTAAATATTTACAACCAAGGCTGACGCTGGAGTTAGTTCCACATTTTTTGTTTCTGAGTATGATTAAGGGTCTCTTTTCCCTTTTACCAGCATCTGAACAGAATCGGAGCATGTTTGTTTTAGCTGAGGTAACATTTTCCATGGGGCTTCGCTGACTATACAGTTCCTGACTCCTAGTTGCTCTGACTCCGTTTGCAAAGACATGAAGTGAAATTTTGAACCAACCTCTTAATTCCATTGTTATTAAAACCTACCATTTTTGTAAATTTCTGCATGATTTAAGAATAAAAAACAGAGTGGCAGAAGCAAGAGTTGGGGGCAGAGGGAAATGGTTATGCTATTTCAGCTGACTGAGACCATTTTGCTCTGCTCTTGCTCTGAAACCTCACTTCACTTCCTACTTTGAAGCCTTTCTCAAATCTTATTTTTATGCTGCCCTCTAGGCCCCAAGCTGACCCCAATATTGAGGTACAACCTCAATATGACCAGCCCCCAGTACTTTAAAGCCATGAATCAAATTTAAGAAATCCTGCTATTTTAAAAAAACATTAGTACATTTGAGGTTGTCTTGGTGTTCAGACAAATCCACACAAATCAATATCCCTCATTTCTGAGCTGTTAGTGTATACATGGATTGTGTTCATTCAGGCTTTTTTCACAACAGAAGGGCTAGCACGATTATGAATCTTCTTTGTGAAGAATTTTGAAATGTTGAGATTTTAGTTCCAATTTAAAATTAATTAAAAATCTTTAAATCTTTGGTGGAACATAACTTCTTCACAGCTTTATGTTGAAGTTCATACCATGACTCCAGTTCATTGTTGCCTGGACCCTGGTATTGGGTGGGATGGATAACATTAAAATGCAAAGGGAGGTACTTTGTACATACTCCCTTCAGTTCCTGTCTAGTTCTGATTTTAGTCTACTGGAGTATTCATTTCAGTGTTTTGGCTCAAAGTGAAACTCATCCAAAACAGCAAGTTTCAGTTTGTTCTAGAAACTACATATTTCAGTGTAAAAATTACAAAAATGAGTCCTGTTCACATTATATCCAACTTTGAGAAAGGTTCACCAACTTTTCAGCCTTAAATGATTCCAATCAAGTGCCCAGATTCAAGCAGCCTCTTAAGTTTTGGAAAGCTTAGCTCTGGCTTTGAAGTGTGCCTCATCTTCAGTTTTGCTATTGCTGCTTTAGATTTCTAATGGAAGAAAAGTCCCAGAACCACATAATATCTAGGCATGTTTGAGTATGGATATATTTTGCTTCCTTTTAAATATATAAGATAAAGAACTCTTTTACACATATCTTTATCATACATACTATGGCAACTATAGTATACGTAGCTATATGTTCTGTATATAGATTGTATAGCTATATACGATGGGATCTCATTGACCTTGGAGCTGAATCACTAAGTCTGCTTTAAATGGCTTGAACTTGCTGCAGTATTTATACACAGATCAGTAAAGATATAAGTCTCCTGCCCTATTGTTAGAGCAGAGCTGCTAATCAGCAGGGTTCTTGGTTTTCTCTGATTGACAGAAATCCCCAATTTTTGGTTAAAATAAGTAATACCACATATATATATATATATAGTGGTGTTTCATTTTAATCACAGAAAAATGTGGATTTGGGGTTACCTTTGTAACTGAAAATTGGTGATTTTTTTCAGAGAAAACCAGGATCCCTACTAATCAGCAATATAGAGGAAAACACAGGGTTATATGTCCAAATCCACTGGAAGCGTTTTCAGTGTCAGGCTGCAGAGCATAACACTGTGGGAGGCCAGTGAAGTCAATCAGCAAATGTAACTCCAGTTTTAAATGGTTAAGTCTCACTAGAAGTGCAGGATAAATGTCACAGGACTTCTTGTTGTTTTAATACACCTTAAGAAACTAAACAAAGCAAATGCGTTTGGTGGCTCCCTCAGGAAAAGACCAGTCACTTCCTTCCTGAGCAGTAATCTGCCTGCTAGCAGCAGATAGATTCTCATTGTTTACCACTTCCAGTTTCCAGTAATGGGAACGATTGCTTGACTAATACCAAGCCAGTTTCTGCTGCAGATTTAGAAAAAACTACAACTTTTCATAGAGAAGCTGCTTTAGCTGTTTCTTTCAAAACACCATAAACCAAACATTTATATTTTTACCTCGTTTAGGGTCCTTGAGGCACAGTCAACCAGAGCTGATGAACATCGTTTTATTTTGGAACTAGGTAGCTGCTCTCCAATCACAAGATGTGTCTTGCTCTCCTGGTGATTCTCTTACACTGTAAGTTCAAAGTTAAATATCCAGATGTATTTTCACTGCTTCAGTTTTACTGCTATTACTACCCTCCAGTTATTTAGCTTTGAAAATAACAAACGTTCCATTAATTTTCCAGGTTCAAGCCTTAAAGCTCGTGAAGGTGAGTTGTGGAATTCTTTTTCAATTTGTTGATATGTAAAGTACTAATTTCCATGCTGATCTGAAATTCTGCTGGTAAAGCTCCATAATCGAGTTACTCTAGATTTTAAATAGTTGTAAATCTGAGCAGAATTTGGGCCACAAATTTATCTCAGGTAAAACCTGCATATCTTTGAAAAGTGCCAACATATACGTTTTGGACTCACAGAAAGAGACAGACTCCAGTCCAGCCATTTAAAGTGAAATCTGACTAGTGAAGTCAATTGCAATTTTGTGCTGACTTTAGTGGGAAATCCTGGCCACTGAAGTGATCTGTTGTATAAGATTCAATATTGTGCTAGTGAAATAATCACTGAAAATAACTTTGGTCCGTATCCTGCAATATACAAAGTCTGCAGATATCTTTATTTAGTCTTTAACACAATATCTGGAAAAATGATGGTGAGAAGTTTTTGCTGCTGAAAACTGTTTAAATCAGCAATGCACTACTCACATCTAAATAAAGATCTTTGAGATAGCCAGTAGACACACTTGTTTAGGAAGGGGAAAGAAAATTTAGGTATTGGCTTTCCCATTTTTTTAACAAAAAAGCTTTCTTGTCCCCCATAAGGAAGGAGGAAGTAAACATTTTGTAAATATAAATTAAGAACATTTGCCAGATGTATTTGCTCTTTGTTTTGAGAGCATTGCTAGCTTGGAAGAGAGTTGAACTTACATGAGTCTGGAACTGGAAAAAGTGGGTAACATTTTTGCAGGCTGTTTTTCCCAGCCTCCCTTTCCCACCCGTGGAGATGCCTGGCCCCAAACTGACCCACTCAAAGCAAAAAAGGTGATCTTCATAAGCCCTTTTGCGAGCCCAACATCAAAGTTATCTCTGGCAAGGAAGAGTTATAATTCCTGGATAGGGAGGGCTCCATCAGATAGAGGAGCTTTGTCACAACCCACTAGCAAATCAGTGCTCTAAGCCCTGAGCAAACTGGATATTCCCAGAGCTGTCCATTTCAGGGAAGAAGAAAGCAAAAACCCCATAACCATTTTTCCCAAGAATCGTTTATAGCTGCATGAATAAAATTTGTAGCACACAGTTTGTCATATTTGTGGCATTAAAAAAACAAGCAGTGCATGCTTTCACGCTGTTACAAAAATACAACAGCTGAGGTACTTTCTTTCCAGCTGAAACTGAAAATGGGAACCAAAACCCAATGGATGTGGGGGGAATTTTCATAATAAAAGTAGTATATTTATAAATAACAAAGATACATTTAGAGGGCCGCTGCTCTTAGTTGCATTGCTTTCAGTTGGGGGTTCTGCTTAAAAATTAATAGCAAGTTGTGGTCCAAAGAGGCTACAATTGAGAGAGACCTAGATTCAGCAAACCAGAGAGAAATGTATTTAACTTTAAGCCTTTGAAACACATGCTTGAGTCCCACTGAAGTCATAGAGGGTGAGTCCATCCTTGATTTAATTCCCCTCAGTAGAATTAGACTGTGGATGGATTTGGATAGGCAAGCACAATACAAACTTCCCTGATTATCTGTAGTCCTGACATGTACTACCCACTCCACAATTTTCTGAATCTGGACTTTTCCTGAGCAGAGGTTGGAAATCTGCTCATTTAACAGCAGTTCTGGCATTCTTTATATGTAGCAACAGGAGATTCAGATCTTCAAATTTTTTAGGATTAAACCTTTGATTTGCATTTGTTTTTAAAAAAGCTGCAAATATTTGGTACATTTTTGCCACACTGGAATGCACTGGAATTTAAAGAAATGCCAAAGCAGCATAAGAAAACCAGTAAGTTTTACCTGATTGCAGCTTATGGATGTGGAGGCAGATATGAGCTAGGAAATCATGATGTCTAATTGAATTTGGGCCAGCAGAAAACAACAAGAAATTGTCAAAATCTTTACCCTTTTTTCCCTGAAGAAAAGGGAAAGGGAAAATAATTGAAGAAAAAATATTGGGCTGTTTTTAACTTTTGCTTTTTTGCTATTCATTTACAAAAATGGCCATATTTAATTAATATTAAGTTGGGATCACAAAGTAACTAACTATAGGAAATGTGGTATAAACGTGTTGCTGCCTTACATAGCTATGTGATAAAACATGTGCATTACAGATGAAGGATTGGCCACATTTTTATACTACCTTTTGCTGGTGGCCTTTTATGGAAGGGAAGATAAATAAAGTCTGATCTTCCAGTTTGTATTCGTGTGAGTAGTCTTTACTTCACATGAGTAGCCCCACTGATATCAGTGGGACAGTTTTCACGGGGAAGGAGGACTACTGATGTGAGTCAGAGTTTTAGAATCAAGTCCATAATTACAACCAGGTAAATACACAGACTCTCTTAGGACTTAAAGCTCTGTTCAGAGTTTTTTTTAATTCATTACAGTTGTCCGGGATGGATAGCTCTGAATTCCAGGAGATTTTGTGAAATTCTGTGTTTTCAATTTGCCCTTTCAATTAAATGCTACTGAAGCCTCCAATTTTGCAAACAATTGATGCGAACTGTTGTGAATGTGAATAATTCTATAAATCTAAGCAGGCTGATTGAAGTCAACAGAACTGCTCACAAAAGTAATTAGGCGTGTGTGTGCGTGTACACGCGTGTGTGCACTTGCAGGATCTGGGCCCAAGTCGTTATCTATGTTACTCAGATTGTCCGGAGCTACTGGATATGTATGGCATAGCTAAGTGACAGATCGGTAGCCAGGACTTTGGGCTAACTCCAGTAAATTTTTTCTAAATTGTCTATGGGACCAGACTATTTGAACAGCACTTATTTAGAGGAGCAGCAGCTACAACATCCTGAAATAGCAGCATGGAGAGGTGGACTAGTGATAGTGTAGAAGAATGTAGGGATAAGGAAGGACCTCTTCATTGAATCAGGTGTTACTGGGCCAGGCACTAGACAAATGTAGGCCCTTTTTCTTCAGTCAGATCATTTTAGGTGAGTCTTTTGACTTTCTTGGAAACTCATGTGCTTCCATTGAAATCTCCCTGTGCAGGTCCAATTTCAGGGCCATGGGTACATTGAAGAGGAACATTTGGAGTCCCACAGAACCAAGGCTAGAAATGATCTAGAGGAGTGGTACTCAAAGTACCAACTGGATATTTGGTGACAGGAGAGCACAAGTAGTGTTAAATGCTGCAGCTCTGGGAGCCCCATGCAGTTAACATTGCCACTGTTCCCCTGTTGCTAAATGTTTAGAGCCACAGGGAGCCCCTGAAGCCAGATGAACACCAGATCCAGCTCACAGACTGGCTGCACACGCTTATCTAGCTCACATGCCTAAAAGTTTGAGCACCACTGATCTGGAGTACCCTAAGTTGCTTTTCAGGGTTGAAATGAATATCTTGTAGCTGCTCCCAAGAGCAGCATTGCTTTACATAAACTGGAGACTCAATGTGATTTATTTTTCCCCCCTCATCCAGTTTTTACCATCAACAAGGTTGAAATCCGGGCTGACCCATCGCTTCAAGTGCCTAATGGAGATGCACTTACCATCCTCTGTATTGCAGACATTAGCAAATCTGGGAACTTCATGATAGAACATCATTTCACATTTTTTAAGGATGGCAGGATTCTGTCTGATATCACATCATTGCAAAACAGGACAGAGTATAAAATACCGGCAGCTAGATTTGCAGACACAGGAGAGTATGTCTGCATGGTGAAAGCCAAAGAGAAGAAAAAAAAAAGTGAAGTAATGCTTGTTAAAGTCACTGGTAAGTATTTCTTCAACCATAGCTTTCTTCTGTTACAGCTAGCAGAGCATGGTCACTGGCTAGAGCTGTTATGATACTCTGACTTAGCTTGTATATAGCGGCTTTTTCCAAAGTGCCCTACAAAAGACTGGTAACATTATTTAAAGAAGGGGAAACTGAAGCCCAAAGAGATAAAGTGACTTGTCCAAGATCACCCAGCAGGTCAATGCAGAGTCAGGAATAGAGCCCAGGTCTTCAGGATCCCAGTATAATACTCCACATGCTAGACTGCTGGTATGTGTGCTAAGACCTTAGGCAGATGTACCTTTGAAGTGCTTCAAATACCACTCCACTGTGGAGCGCTTTAGACCATAGATGTTCATGCAACCCCCTACCACAGCACTTCAGTCACCAGAGCAGCATGCTCTCCAAGCAGGGTCTGTGTGGACACACACACAGAGTGTTTCTGTTTCTGTGGCTCTGCTCCCCCTGTATGCCTTCTGTGGTGGGGGAGGGAAACAGGGCAGACAGCCAATAAACTCTCCCCTGTGTGCTTGGTCTCCAGCCCACCGCCAGTTCTTGAGGCAGAGGTGTACAAGTTTGCCAAAGGCAATTGAACACCCACTTGCTGGAACCAAGAGACCAAGACCTTGTACCACCTCCATCATCTCTTATAAGGACAGGAAATACATATCTATCCATTTCTTCTTCCATAATGTTCCTCGTTTCTCTACGAGTTGCATGGTTCCTCTTGAAATATCAGCCTCCTGAATGTCTTGGTTTAGGGTTGATTGGCAAGTTGTGCCAATATGTAACCTGCCTTAATGGATTGGTATTTGCAGTCACAATATCCAAATGGGAAATACAGTTTCTCCCCTTGCTTTTTCCCTGAATAGGAGTTGGAGACATTGAGGAGGAAGTGTTCTTAATTTCCAAAGAGTGAGCTACATGCTTTAAACACAGTGACATGAATGGAACCACAAGGGGCTGCTTGTCCATTTGATGGCACTATCTGTGCAACAGAAAGCTTTTCCCAAAGGTCACAGGTGCTCAGCTCCAGACTTCAGCTGCAACAGCAATCTGATATTGGTCCATTAGAGCACCGGTGTCAGAGATACCAAGCATAGCACCTGTATTAGGGATATCTAATGATACTTGCTTCTTTTTTTTCTGCCACAGGGCTACCCAAGCCAAAACTGACTGCTCTGAAAAACATGGTAACAGAGGGGGAGGAATTAGTTTTGAAGTGCGAAGTTCCAGAAGAAGCTCCTCCACTTACTTTCACTTTTCAGAAGTTACTGACCCCTGGAGGGCCAGTAACAAGAACAAAGAAGGAGTTGGAAAAAAATTTTACGACAATAGAAATTCCAGTTGAACCTGGGGATAAAATATTGAGATTTCAATGTATTGCCAGTGTGTATTCAGCACATGGTATGCAAGAGTCAGCCCCAAGTGATGTGGAACTTGTAACAGTTGTGGGTAAGGTACTTTGTTTTTCACCCGTATATTTTTTCTTGTTATGTTGCTTGCCTGGGTAGAAACCATGGATACCTTGAATTGTAAAAGAGAGTAGTCTACTAGTTAAGTGTCTGGGTGTGAATGTTGCAGTGTTACAAATGGCAGAGCAGGTCTGATTCTTTGGCTTACCAAAAGGTAGAGAGAATTGTGAACAGAAAGTACTGTTCCAAACCCTCTCTCATTTCAAGAATGCTCAGGCTTCATTTAGTGGCTTGGGTCTACTTCATATACAAACCTTCAGACAAGCACATTTTAATCTGGGCTCTTTAAGTGGTGGATTACAATCAGCCTGCCCATCATTCTGGGTGAAGTCAATCCAAGTTGTGGGTGTTTACCATGCCCAGCAGGGAGCCTTGATTAAACATACAGCGTGCCTTACAGGGTAGGATATTTCACACTTATTAGCAGAGATGGAGGGAAATGGCAAATACAAAAGCAACTTGGAGTCCTTCTGAACTATTGGCTATTTTGTTTCAGAATCTAAAATTAACTTAAAATAAAGGAAGACCTTTGCTAGAGCTTTCACCATCTGAACAGATGCAGGTGTTTCCTTGGTAATGCACTCCAAAACAGCCAAGTAACCATAGCAGTAAACAACTGTTTTTTCCCCCCAGTAATATGACTTTAATCTTTTGTAGAACCCTTTTCAACTCCTGCTCTGGTCATCGAGCCTTCCCTGAACGTTACAGAAGGAGATAACGTTAAACTGGTATGCAGAGTTGTAGTCCGAAACTATGACATTGAAATCATCATCCAGAAAGACAAAGTAATATTGAACAGCACCAGGGGCCAGAACACTTTGACCTACTTTACCAAAGTGAGCATGCAAGACAATGGCAATTACACGTGCAAGGTGGAACTGGGGAGTGTTTCCAAAGAAAAGACCGTGAACATGGTTGTGACAGGTAAGATTACTATTAAATCTAGATCTTATAGAATTGAGTGAACTTTTCACAAATGTGTTTGCTAGAGATGGATTTGAGCTGTAACAGTTTATATCCACGATCTAAACTTCCCCTCAGTAAGTGAGTGCTTAGATTTGGGTTTATGGGTAGGGTCCATCTCTAAGACTTATCATCAAAATCCACTCTCTACAGGGCATGTTGAGAGGTGGTTGAGTGCAAAAGGGAAAGATCTTGAGTTCTAAATCTGTTGTCACTGCATCTCTGGGTGCCCTTCAGCAAGTTGCAAAGACCCCACTTTCCCTAGAGATATAACCAAGTTAAAGTAGAGTTTGGGTGTCACTGCTAGGGGAAGGGATGTCAGATCAGTTTGAATGTTTGTGACTATGTAGCCGGAGAGTCACAGGGGATATAAAGACCCTTACCACCACAGCTGATGCAGATAGTCCTTTAGTTTGAGTAGGAGAGGCCTTTGCTTTTGAAGCTTAAGGTTTCTGGGTTCTTACCTCCACATTGCATGTGACATGTTTGGGAGCTATTATGCCCAGTGCTCGTGACCAGTAGCATACCATAGACCATTCAGCCATTTTTGAATGTCTGCCTAGCTGGTGGAAAAAGCAGCTTCTGTCATGTGCTGTAAGTCATTATTTAGGGATATTCACACTGTCTAGGGATTCTCAGTAATCCCCCTGCACCCACACCAAACTAAGAAAATTTAAACGTCACTGGCTTGAACTCTGAGCCCAGAAAGCTGAGAAGCTAAATCACATTGCCCATTTACTCTTCAGGAGTGAGACTTTCCTATTAACAAGCCTTGAGTCCAAGGGTTTCAAACAAACACATTTTATTGTGGGGAGGGGGAAGGAATAAAAGGAAACACAATGTAAACTTGGGAAAACCAGATTAATAATGCAGCAACATCATGTGAAACTCCCACCCTCAGTGTTGCAGTGGGAGCTTTAACCTCAGACCTCTTCTCATGGTTGTGCCTCATGAATAAAGTAGTTAGCTACAACCCTCCTCTGGTGTGTCCCACTCACAGTTAATGTTCCAGTTCTGGAATAGTTCAGACTTGTGGCAGGTCCGTCCTTCACTCTGAAGGGGTGTGCAGCTCCGGGGGCTCTCTCATCTCTGCTGTCTGACGTGGCTATAGCTGTGGGGCTGGGCAGGGAAGTTCTTGTTGGATTCCCTTAGCTAAGCTGCAGGGGTGTAGGTTGTAGCTGTGTTGGTCTAAGGACACGGGCATACAAGGTTCTTTGGGTGAATCTGATATCTTTCATTAGACCAACTCAAATAGTTGAAAAACAATTATTAAGCAAGCTTTCGGGTTCAAAAACCGTTCGTCAAGCTAAGGAAGTTTCTGCAGTTGGTGTGTGCTCTTCCTGGATGGAATGAAAAGTAAAGAAGCCAGCGGCTGGGCTGGTATGCATACAAGACAGGTAGTCAGTGAAAATGTAGATTGAGGAGTCAATGGGTGAGAGACAGGCGGGGGGATGTGGGGAGGGAGAAGGGGGATGAAAGTGGAGAGATACCTGGGGAGTCGGAGGTCAGGCAGGTTATAATGTGTCATAAATCCAATGTCTATATTTAGTCCATGATTTTTAGTATCCAGGAGGTTGATGAAGTGGAGTTCATAGGCTCGTCTCTGGGAAGTGTTGTGTAAGTTTCCTTTGAGGATCAGGACTGAGAGATTGGGGGGAGAGTGGTTTTCTTGTGAGAAATGTGCCCCCGCAGGTAATTGGGTATTTCTGTCTTTGATAGATTTCCGGTGTGTATTCATTCTGGTGCACACTTGTTGTTTGGTGTCTCCTACGTATTTTCCATCAGGGCATTTAGTGCATTGGATGAGATATATTACATTTCTGGAGGTGCAGCTGTAAGATCCTTAGCTAAGCTGCTGCTTTTTGTGGTTTCAGCTCAAGCAGTCTCATCTCTATTTGCCCCCTCCTCTCCAAAAGCTACCTCTTTGCTATATTGTCATATCTATTTCCCTTGACATCTCAAAGCTGCCTCTGCATCATCATAGTTCTTCAGAGATGGATCACTGCAGCATTCAAAGCCCCAACAGAGGCAAAGCTCCAAGCAGAACTCCCCACTCCTCTTTTCCACTTTCTTTAACTTGCCCTGGCCGTGTTTGCCCCATTACTCCAGACTACAGTTATGGTAAGGCATCCCCTCACTGCAGGCATACAGTTCTCTTGTCCATTCATGACCTGGCAGGGATAATAGAGGATCATGTTTATTACTTCCCAAATTAACAAATAATATTTTATGTCCCAGACTCTTGAAAAACTGAAATGCAAATAAGGCCTGACCAGTGCAGGTATGACTCCTCCACATATGCTGCAAAGGGTTCTTTCCTCATGCAGTCCACCGTCTCAGACGTCTCTTTTCCCTGATGACCAGCAGCTGTCAACAGTGATCTCCCCACTCTTGAGGCTTCAAGTCACAGGGCTTATACTGACATACTAAGACCAGCTCCTCATTTCATGGTATCCTTCCCTCTGGGGAGTTTGAGGCATGCTGCCCCCTTGCCCTTATGCACAATCTAAATTAATTATACCTATTCTCCATTTATTTTGCAGAGTTGTTTTCGAAACCAGAATTGATTCATTCTGCGAAGATGATAGATGAAGGTGATTGGTTACAACTACAGTGCAAGGTTAAAGGCTTATTACCCGTAACAAAGATCTCCATCAAAACAAGATATTTAGGAAAAGATAACCTGTTGAATGATTCCAGCAGCTTCATTACAAAAGCCCATGTGAATAACACTGCGACCTATATTTGTACAGCTGAGATAAATGGAATCATTAAAGAGAGCGACCCTGTAAAGATAAATGTTTATGGTGAGTTGATATAGTCTGGTCCTGGAAAAAACTTGAGCATGTAAGTAATTCAGTTGTTTTCAGGATGAGGCACCAATTCTTTAACTTCGATATCACTACTATTTTTAAGGAGCAAGTAAATTGCTATGAGACACTCTTAAAGTCTTGTGGTGTATATAGGACTTTTTCCATCCTAATTTAAACAGATTACATTTTTCCAAGGTCAGTCTTAAATGAGGATGAAAGCTAGTAGGCCCTTCTCTTTTGTCTAACAACTCCCTTCAAACATTGGCTAGAACCTGTCCCTGTGAGTGTCTTATCTATCCAGCTTGATGCCACCTTTCTCTGTAGCTGCACACCTTTTTATACACCAGCTTTACCTGAAACGACATCAGCTTCTGCCTTGATATTTTTCTAACAGTCTTCCATCAGTTGGAGGCAGAGGTCATCTTGGTCAAGGGTGTCTGCACCATAAGAAAGCCAAGGTGTTTGCTTTGCAACTAGTGGCGGTTCTCTTGAAGTGGTCACTTCAGCCCATTGACAACACCTTGGCTTCCTTTTCCTCTCATGGATAAAAATATAAGCAATATTTGGATATTAGCGAAGTATCATACCTTTATAAATTGTGTGTAAACTAACACAAGAGTCTTTAGTTAGTGCCTTTTCATAGAACCACATTAATAACTTTTTTCTCTTTTTAGCTCCAGTCTCCATCCCACAACTTTGGATTGTCCCTTCTGTCCGTGATGTGATATTAGGGCGAGCAATACGTTTTCAGTGTCAGTCTATGTATGGAACACCACCTATAACATACAAGTTCTTCAGAGGAAACAAAACTGTTAACTCCAGCCAAATTTTTAATAAACTACCCGCTGAATTCAGGGACAAACCAACTGAAGTAGGTGTGGAACAATACAGTTGTGAAGCTAGCAACCATCACTCTCATATTAGGAAAAGGAGCAGAGAGCTAAACATTACAGTAATAGGTAAGTGCAATTTGCTCCTCAACTGATGAAAGGAGAGGTGTGAGAATTGGAATTTTGCAAGTATCTGTAGGACCTTGATTGAATAGTAAAATTTATATTAAAACTTTTGAATGGTGATAAAATACTCTCTAGGGCTCACTTTGCTGTGGTGTAAAATACTGACTTTGCTGTGGTCCTTAAAACAAACTATGCTACTTGCAAACTGGATCGAGTTAACCAGAGTCAGGTTTATTTAATGGGAAAATATAGTCCATATATTTGCTGTGAATTTTAAACCTGCTTGAATTTAGTATCACTGGAGAAACAAAATAATTTGTTCTCCAATATTTAGCAGTATAAATATGAACCCAATCCTGTATTTCTTATTCACCCAAGCAGGCCTACTGAAGTTAATAAGTTTTAGGATCAGGCCCAACTTTTTTCTTGGCTTTTTGGTTTTCTTTTTGGCTAGACTTCATTTAAATGATGCATGTAATTATAGTAGAGCTGTTTTTATGATGATGCTTGCAATGCTTACTATGTACTGGTTTCAGTGGCCTGCCTAAATTACTCTAACATAGATTCAATTTTTACAGGATTTTAATAGTTTAAAGTTAATCTCATGTTAGCAATCTTTGCAACAACTGCTCCTGGTGGGAGAGACAGGGTTAAAAACCCAGAGAGGAAAACTGCCATGTAGCCAGCTGGAATCATAGCATAGTCCCAAGAAGGGGCTTTGGGACTCTTGAACCAAAGGAAGGAAGCATGTGACTGCACAGACCAAGAAGGAGCTACAGTGGAGCTGGCAGAGCTCTTTGGCTCAGAGGGAACGGGAAGCCTGAAACCCTAGAGCAAGGTGTGAATTAGCAGCCCCAAGAGGGAAGGGTTGAACCTGACAGGTGCAAAGAGAGACTGTATTTTGTAAAGACTTAATAGGTCACACTCTGACAAGGGAAGATAAATCTAAGAACTCTATCTGTGAGTAAGTTATGAAGTGGCAAAAAAAGGGTGGGTGAATTAGGCCACTTAAGGATAATGCAGGGGCTGTCCCCTGCTACACATACAGATAGTTTGCTTTCTCATCCTCTATGTGGGGAGAGGATTGCCAGTGAACTCCAGGTACAATGGAGTGTCTTGTTTTGGGAGGGGTTAAATAAATGTGTTGTTATATATTTGTTAGATGAGCAAATGGCAAAGTAATGCTCTGAAATGAAAGGCTTATGAAGGTCTTTAGTTCCTGGAGGATTTCATCCTTTAGTCTTGGGTTGGCCTCTGAAAAAGTTCCATCTCCCACAGACAAACTTTACACCTATGATAAAATGTTCCATTGCACTATAAGAGTGTAGTTGTCAGCTGTGATCTGCATCAGAACATTTTAGGCAATGTTCAGTCACAGTCTTCATCATGAGGCTTTATGCACTCTTGTAAGTATTTGGGATCAAACCATGGAGTACCTTGAAGATATGGACCCAAGAGTTTGAATTTGATCAGTGAAGCCAGTGTGAAGAGTAAAGGACCTCTTCAATATGCTCAGTGTATCTGTGTTTGTTTAAGAGAAGTGCTACAGCATTTTACACTGTAGCATTTCTGTAGTGTTTTGTTGAAAATTGCTGTAGTCCGGCTGAAAAGTGATAAAGGCATGAAAAACCGGGGCTAGGTCATTGTCCACCAGGACAGAATCTTCCAGCCAACCAGAGGGGAAGAAATCATTTCCTGTTGCTATGTGAGACCCTGGTGTCAGAGATGTATTTGGTAGCCATGTTGGTCTTAGGCAAAAATAAATGCAAAACTCTACAACTCTTGGTTCAGAGATGATACTTTTTATTAGACCAGTGGCTCTCAAACTTTTTTTGCTGCAACCCTAAATCCGGCTCGTGACCCCTGCCCCCGACCCTGCCACTGACTCACTCATGCCCAGCAGAGCCTGGGCCGGGCCAGGATCACGGGGGACAGTGGTGGCGAGAGCCGCATGGGCTGTGTGCCGAGAGAACCCCGCAAGCAGGAGGGACAGAGCGAGGGGTGGACCCCCCGCAACCCTGATTTGGGTTGCAACCCGAGGTTGTGAGCCACTGTATATAGATCAACTGAGAAATTGCAAAAAAAAAATCTTTTCTGCAAGCTTTTGGGCGCACACACCTTTCCTCAGGCTCAGGGAAAATTAAAGATGGTAAAAAGTCCCCATAGGTAGAAGATAAACTTAATTTTTGCACAGAGGAAGCTGAAGGTGGATGTCTGTTCCTCTGGGTCCATGAAAGTGTCTTTGTGAATTGCTCTTTGAGGTGCAGATGAGGCAGGAGTCCTTCCCTAGTGGTGTCAGAAGGATCCAAGACTACTTCAGATCTGCAGGGCATATTGATCAACTGCGAATACATATCTCCTACCAAAGGAGTTTGCACTGTAGTTTCATAGATTTCATAGACATTAGGGCTGGAAGGGACCTCATTGAGTCCAGCCCCCCGCCCCAAGGGCAGGAAGTCAGCTGGGGTCAAAGGATCCCAGCAAGATAAACGTCCAAATGTTTCTTAAAAGAGTCCAGAGTAGGTGCTTGCACCACCTCTGGAGGGAGTCTATTCCAGGCCTTGGGGCTCAGACAGTAAAGAAGTTTCAAAGGCTTTTTTAAAGTCAAGATATATGATGTCAATCTCTTCTCTCATGTCCAGGTGATATGTCACCTGGTCATAGAAGGAGATGAGATTGGTCAGGCAAGACCTATCCGCAACAAACCCATGCTGGCTGTCCCTCATGATGTTGCCATCAGTCAGCTTGTCAAGAATGGTTTCCTTGTTAATTTTTTCCAGAATCTTTCCAGGGATTGAGGTCAAGCTGATTGGCCTATAGTTCCCCAGATCTACTTTCCTCCCTTTCTTGAAGATGGGCACCACATGGGCCTTCTTCCAATCTTCAGGTACTTCACCTGAGAGCCAGGAGTTTTCAAAAATCTTTGCCCATGGCTGGACTATGACTCCTGCCAACTCCTTATGTACTCTGGGGTGCTATCTGTTGGGACCCACTGACTTGAAGGTGTCCGGCCTCTCAAGGTGTTGCTTTACAAGGTCTACACCGATGCTGGGTATAAATTCACCCTCACCCTGGCCGCCCCGCATCTTGCAAGGCAGGGTGGTCCCTTTGGGTCAATGAAAAACCAATGTGAAGTACCTGTTAAGCAGGTTGGCTTTTTCCTGGGTGTTGGTTGTCAGTTGTCCCATTTGGTTTAGCAGGGGTCCAGTGTTACCCTTGATTTTCTTCTGACTCCCCACGTATCTGAAAAGGATATTTTTATTGTCCTTGATATGTGTAGCCAGGTGGAGTTCGGTTGCAGCCTTGGCTTTCCTGGTTTGCTCCCTACAGGTACAGACCAATGCAGAGTAATCCTCCTTTGTGGTGATTCCTATCTTCCATCCTTTATAAGCCTCTCTCTTTTGGTGTAGGAGGTCCACAAGTTCCCTGCTGAGCCAAGGGGGTTGCTGTTGCCTTTTGCTACCTTTCCTCTGAGAGGAGATGGACATCCCTTGTGCTTCCAAGATCACTCCCTTAAGGAGCGACCACTCCTCTTGGACTCCTCTCCCTGCTGAGTCTTGGTCTGTTAGTGCCTCGACAACAAGCCTCCTGAGCTTATCAAATTCAGCTTTCCTAAAGTCGAGGACTTCTGCATTGCTGACTGACTTGCCAGCTTTGCGATGGATAGGAAAAGTGATCAGCTCGTGGTCACTGTCTCCCAGCTTCCCTTTGATTTTTAGGTTGCTGACTAGATCATCTCCCGTAGCCAGTACCAGGTACGGCAGCACTTTACTTCTTGTTGATCCATAGACTTCTTGGGTCAGGTAGAGCTCGTCCATGCATGTGAGGAAGCTTTGTGACCGTTTGGATTTGGCCAAGTGCTCTTCCCATGAGATGTCCTGGTAGTTGAAGTCTCCCATGACGACCATGCACTGGGAGCATGTAGCCTCAGCCACTTTCCCGTAGCCAGTACCAGGTACGGCAGCACTTTACTTCTTGTTGATCCATAGACTTCTTGGGTCAGGTAGAGCTCGTCCATGCATGTGAGGAAGCTTTGTGACCGTTTGGATTTGGCCAAGTGCTCTTCCCATGAGATGTCCTGGTAGTTGAAGTCTCCCATGACGACCATGCACTGGGAGCATGTAGCCTCAGCCACTTCCCAGGCAAATTCCTGGTTGAGCTCTTGTTCCTGGCTAGGAGGTCTGTAGCAGACTCCTACCAGTGTGCCCCTGTGCCACGTTCCCTACGTATTTTAACCCAGAGGGTCTCTAGTTGTCCTTCCTGGGTGCCAGTGTCACCTTGCAGGGATGCTTAGCTTTTCTTGACGTAGAGCTACATCCCCACCCCTTTTTTCTGCATGATCTCTCCTGTACAGGGTATAGCCATCTATACCTGTGGCCCAGTCATGGGTGGAGTCCCACCAGATCTCTGTTATCCGTATGAGATTGTAGTCTTTCTTGTTTAGTAGGACCAGTTCCTCCTTTTTGTTCCCCAAGCTCCTGGCATTGGTGTATAGACATATAAACATCCCATTGGGAGCCCTAGGCTTCCTCACATTCTCAGGAGGCCACTGTTCCGGGGCTGGGGTAGGAGTAGATTTCCTCGGGCATCCTAACCTGTTGGTTTTGTAGTTGTTGCCTAGTGGGCTTGCTTTGGTGGTTGTCTACCCATCTCCCAGCAGGCTTAGTTTAAAGCCTGATCGAGCTTGTTCTTCAAAATGCTTTTGTTTGTCTAGCAGCATTACTTCTGCCTTGCTCAGGTTCAGCTTCAGCCACTGAAGTCATCATTCGAGAGTGAATCAAGTCCAAGCCCTGGATTATATTTGTGATAGTGGTATTGTTGTATGTGGGGAAGGATAGGTAGAGTTTGTGTAACATTTGTATGTTGCTAGCACCTGAGTCCCAGTCCTTTGACCAATTCAGCAAGTATCTGCATAGTGATGTTAAAAAGAACCAGAAAGAAGAGATCTGTTTATGCCAAGATTTGGCAAATGGGGGTGTGGGAATAGCAACCCGTGCTGCAGGAATGGCTGAACCCCCAACTCCGAGCCTTTCCCCTCCCACTTCCCTGCCCCATCTACGGATATGGGCAGACTAGGCAAGGAGGCTTCCCAGGAACTTTTTAAAGTCCTGAAAACAGATAAGAATCCCTCCCCCTTTCCCCTCCATGGCCAGCCACATCTCTTCCTCACCCGTTCCCAACCCCCACTTCACCTGCCACTGCTGCTTTCCCCTCTGTTCTGGGGGTGGAGGAAGCCCCAGAGCTACTTCTGTATGCACTAGCTGGGCTGCATGGAGGCTGGGCTCACGTCTCGAATGCCTCAGGAGAGTGGCAGCAGCAATGGGTTGGGGTGGGGGGGTTCCCCCACCATGCCCAGTCACCGCAGGAGCAGACCTGGCGAGGGAGAACCCTCCCCACATCACCACCGCTACTGCTACCGTTGCTATCCCAGCTGAGTCCTACTCCCACGTAGCTTGACTGGAGTGGGCAGGAATGGCTCTAAAGCTTTCCTCGCACCCAGGACAGCGGGGAAAACAGCAGCCGCAGTGGGAGAAGTGTGAACAC